ACACAATTCGTACAACCACAACGTTGCTGAGATATTTGCAAAACTCTGAACCGCAGGTGTCTATGGTGGGGAACGAACGCGCTATTATCCTTTCCGGGGAGTAACGCGTTCACCACCACACCATGCGGGTCATTCGTTTTCGCCGGTCTCTTAGCTATTTCTATCGATCTTTTTGCCACAGCAATCACCCGTCAGCGGGGTTGTGGTTGTATTTCGCTTAGTAACCTGCCATGAAAATTATAGAAGGCAGAAAACAAAACGTTAAACAATTCGTACATTCTAGCAAAAGAGATCTGGAGAAATATAGTAAATCTTGAGATATTATTCATGTAAAACCCCTTACCAATATATTTTAAACCTTTAAAATAACTGTATGTCACTCTTCTAATACATAGATTTATACTACGGTTCCGTTCACCAAACTAAGTGTTGATTTTAAGTAAAAAAATCAGCTGAAAGTTCATCCAAGTCTGATTTGAATGGAGCAGAGGAAATAAAGGTTTGCAGCTTTCTGTCTGAAATACTTCCAGTATCTCGCACTTTTTTTTTCGTAACTTTGCCCATTCTCTCTCAACCAGTTCGTTCCGAGTTACAACAATTAGTAATACAGAATTTGGGTGTAATTTAGCGCAGATATATACATCCAATGGCCCTTAATTCAACTGGTGGTATCTAATGTGAGCTGAGAGATGCTTGCTTAGAGTTGAAACGCGCGGCTCTAACTTGTTTCCATACAGCTCCTGGCTTGATCCTGGAAATAAGTATTCAACGTGACACTACTTTATGTTAGTAAAATTGTTATGGAGCTGTGACTCTTCGAAGTTCCCAAAAGGGTAACTCCATCATTCAAATCGATAAGTCCCATGCCGTCTAATCCCAGCAAGATATACTACGATTGAAGGATATACTTTGACTTTATTTATATTCACTTGTTATTTTGCATGACCCGTCATCATATCTTTTGTGCAGATCGCAACATTTCTAGCATTCGATTCGTTTTCCTCGAATTCACCGTCCACAACGAGTTTCGAACATTCCACGTGTTTGTTAGGCTGCTGATTGAGGATTTTGTGTTAACTGTGAATTTCGTAGAATGCTGGTCAAGCGGATTCTCGTTCCATCGTTGCAGATAGCCATGCCATGGCGTTCTCATGTAGAATGGAAGAGAGCGCTGGGAAAGAGACTGAAACAACACCTTGCAACCTGATAAACTGCATCACTAACAACAGCGCTACTTCACACACTATTTAAACTTTAGGATTTGCAGCAAATTTGTCTTGGTGCAAGTTTATTTCCTACTGGGTTTCTGAATGGAGTTGTCGAAATCTTTATTAGTCCTAATGAGCTGATTATAAGTGAAAGTACAACTTAAAAAGCCAACCAGCAATGATGACCCATGGAAACCTTGGGAATTAAACCAGGTTAAACCACTTGCACCTTGAGGTCAACTTTTGGAACAAGGATGGGGGTACAGCACCATATTTTCCTCATCTAATTGAAAATGTGCACATGGTGCATATGTCGTACTTCACTGTGGTACTGAAACTAATGTGGTATATCAATGTAAATGGAAGAAGTGTACGTTAATAGAAATTTCATTAACACAAAAAACATGATGGGAAAAAAAACAAATTCACGAAAAAGCTATAAGGGAGTGATTATCATGGGCAACTTTTAAAGATGTGAGTGAAAGCCATCTGAGGAGAAGATGACACAATGACAAACATTCGAGATCAAAGCATAAACTAACAGTGGTGAATGGTAGCGAAAAAGCAGCGGTGCTTAAGATTTTCGTCGTAAAGAGGAACGTCTTAAGATTGAAAATTTATGGATACAGATAAAATATAACAGCTCCGATTTAATATGCTTCTTAACAAATCAGTACGAGCACTGTTGCTATTATTTTGGTTTTCGTACAGATGCAAGGAACAGAGCTGCGTCGAGAAGCACAGTGATGAGCGTGCAGTCCCAATGGTGCAGACCCAATAGAACTAAAAAACAAACCAAGACCTCAGTGCCTCTGGTCTAACCATTCTTAACAAACCGAATCCTAACAAAAAGTATGACATTTACCTCCCTTTAACTCTGAAACTGTATAACATTATTTCCACAAGTGCAGAACACAAAGGGCATTCGTAGTGCTGATTCATGCACAGATGTACAGAGGAATGCTTCGAAAAACGGTGTGAGGGAGTTAGTACTCAGACACTTGGATGGCCCGTCGTCACAGATTGTGCGGACCCCAGCATAAGCGCCACTTTTTTTTTTGGAGATTTGCTGGTTTAGCCAATATGGTTCCCTGGAATGCCGAGCTCAGCCTGGCCAAAATCTGCCCAGGTCGTCACTGCCACAAACAGTCCCCGCCCTTGTGGATCAGAGCGAGATTTGCCATCATGCGACTAATTTGATACCATGAGAGTGGTGGATCCTAGTATTGGTAGTCTTGAGCTGTGAAAGTCCGTCTTGCAAATTTGTAAGCTGTCGACTGAGTAATTTTCATATTTGACATTTTCGCTACATCACAACTCAAAGGTGATTGCAGTTCGTCATTGATATCCTTTAATCTGAAGCGGCGACCTACAAAACCATAAAGACAAATAGGCGAACCGAAATCATCTTTTAGGAAAAACCCTATTCCTAGTGCTATGCTGCTACAACGCAGAAGCCTCACCTTCGGCGAAACTAGTCTTTTTTCTACGCTCCCTCTTGACTTTGTTCCATCACAGTTTTGTAAAAATAGGGGAGCATGTTTGGTTAATCAAGTAGTGAAATATAGAGGAGAAAACGACAGTAAAACAACTCTAAAGCAGAAGTAATTTTTTTTTACTAGTGAAACACTGAAATAGATATGCTTAATACTTCACCGTGATTTTAAGAAAAGCAATACTGGGCAGTAAAACGTAGGGAACCGCAGCAAGTGCCAATGAATTTGTGAACATGCGTAGATATTTAGCATCGTTGTTGCTCGAATCAGCAGCCCATATCGTGCCGTGGTGTACGAGATACCCTTTAAGATAATTGTAACAATAGGAGCAGTGCAAGCGGTACGGTAACCACGGTCGTTTCTCGCACTGAGCTCAAACACTCCCTGCCTGAGCATGATTCGCTGCATACCTGGAAGATTTCCGTTCTGAACAAACGATTTGTATATACTTTTAAGAAACATTTTTTTAAGTAATTACGGATCAATTCATTTGATACATAGAATTTTAGCTCTCACTATGTTTTCTTTAAATAAGTAGTGAAGAGTTTGAATAATCACCTCCACGAAGAGCGAAAATGTCCCTCTTCGGGCAGTTCCTGGGTCTTTTGATAGGAGATGACGAACCTAAACAAGAGGGTCATAAGCTAATATCTCGTGCATCAAGTGCCAAATTCTCCTTCAGCTACGCCATAAATTCCACTTTTATAAAGAGTGCAAAACTGCTTACAGAGTGAAATACTACTACAGGTATGCTGAGATACGAGCAAAATTCTGGACCTCTCATGGGCTTCGAGTCTGCATTTACCTACCTGGGGATCATATACAATTCACCACAAGCACCGAGTCTTTTGCTTCGCCTCTGCCTAAGCCAAATTTTTTTTTGCTCTATCGGTACTATAAGCAATCACCCATCAAGAGAATGAATAAGCAATAAACAAAAGTTAAGACATTGTAATTTAAAGTGCAGCTTCAGCTCAACTAGCTTTAATGACAGTTTGTGGCCACTAGGTTTCCGTTGGCTGGTAATTGCTGATAGCCCTAACAGAGTAAAAAAAACTTCCTGAGACAAAAGCAAAGCAAAGGCCTTGGATGGTGTGGTGTGTGGATGGTGGTATAGCATGTGCGACCGATAAACGTAATCGCGGGTTCGAAGCCTATGTGAGGTTCAGAGTTATTCCAGCATCATTGTAGTTGTATTTTACATAGTACCTGGCCGTGAAGAATGAATACGAAATGAATAAGTATTAAGACATTGTTTACCTTTTATTTCCTGCCTCTACAATTTTCATGGCAGGGTACTATGTGAAATACAACCACAATGATGCTGAGATATTTTCAAAACTCTGGACTACAGGTGTCTAAGGTGGGGAACGAACGCGCTATTACCCTTTCCGGAGGCTAACGCGTTCGCCACCACACCATGCGGGTCTTTCGTTCCGCCTATCTCGCAGCTAGTCCTATCGATCAGTGCCACCACCAATCACCCATGAGCAAAAATAAAGTTGAAAACTGTAGAGGCAGAAAATAAAAAATAGACATTGTGATGTTAACTACAGCCTCAGCTTAACTGGGTTCAATGCCGATATGGGCTCTCAGATCAATTCCGTTGACGGGTGATTGTTGATGGCAGTGATCGATAAAACTAAGTGAACGACAGGCGAAACGAAGGACACGCATGGTATGGTGGTGAACGCTTTACTCCCAGGAAAGGGTAATAGCGCGTTCGTTCTCGACCGCAGACACCTGTGGTCCGGAGTTTTGCAAATATCTCAGCATCGTTATGGTTGTTTTAAGACATTCTTCAGAGACTGTTCGCATTCATTTTATTTGATATTTTCCATTACTGCAAACGATTCAGCTCCTCGTTGTTGAACTTCAATAAGCAAAGAAGGCAGTATCGCCCAAGTTACCCCATTAGGGCTTCTTAAGGTGATAACGAGTTCAATGTCTTCATTTAGGAACCCACCTAAAGGTTAATCATTGCCGATTACCGCTGCCTGGTAAAAAAAACTAGTGGCAAAAGATGTAACTCCGCTATAATCTATAACGGCCAGAAATGAGGCCACTCCGAAACGATTTTGCTTGAGCTTTCTGTGGCTCTAAGGAGAAATCGCTGCAAACGAGTGAGATACAAGTTTAAGGGAGGATGTTCCAGGTGCGCCCAAACGATTCTTTGTGAAAGCGGGCAACGACAAGCCATCATGATCGGACCACATATTCTTTTGAATGATTCACACAGCTCTTTCTATCAATATGAAAACTTTAAAGTGTTATCTAGTATGTAATGTGTGACCAACTAGTGCAAACAGTAGTCGATCACCGTAGATTGCACAGTACTAACCTTTCGGCTAATTTTTGAATTATACAACGTACATCCAGTTACGTCCTCCACTCCACCACACTTTCGTTCAGTCACCACCTTTTCTGAAGAAGAATGGGAATCTTTTTTGGAGTATAATAGCAAATTTTAGCAGTGTTTAGCGGCTTTCATTTAACCCTGGTATGAATGTCAATGTACCTTGTTTCATTGGTTAGCGTTAGCTAACACGAGATTGTTACCAAATATTTATTGGGCTAACTTTTTGACATCTTCGTTTTCATCAAAACAGATGATGGTAGTCGATAGCCTGCAGGTTATAGAGGAGACAAACGTTAATAATTGTGTTACAAGTCGGTTCAAGCCGACTTTCCCTTTAATATTTTTAACGACTTCCCTTACCGACAAATTTTTACGAATTCGTTCTAATTCATGTGTAGCCTACCTACTAAATTAAAAAGGTAGAAAAAGAATACTTCAGTTCGCTTCAAATGCTTCATTGTGGAAATGGAAAGCATTGGAAACAATCCGATGTCACGGACGATGAAAATATTTGAAGACTTTAAAAATTGAAACAAATCCTTACACATATTTCGAAACCGACCTTCCCTAAACCTCGGTGTGACTAATCAATATGTATTCTTTCTTGATAAGCTTGCACGAGGTTGATAAATATATTTATTTTCGGCTAACGTTTCGACGTCTTCGTCTTCCTCAGAGCCGATGATCCGAGTCGATGGTCCATGCTTGTTGTTCGTCTCGACGTTGCGGCTTCGCCTTCTTGTCGAGCCAGATCTCCCTCAGTGAGCCATCTTCTCGAATGAGGCATCCTCACTCAGTGATGCCGTTTTATACACGATGCTGATGGTGGATATATAATGACAATGTCCGGTGGTAACAACTTGTATTCGGTTTTTAGGGAAGGTCGGTTTCGAAATATTACTACGCTTTGTGCTAGCTGATAATACACCGACCTCTGCACGATGTGCACAATGATGTATGTCCGGAAGAAATACAAGTTGTTACCACCGGACATTGTCATTATATATCCACTATCAGCATCGTGTATAGAAGGGCATCACAGAGTGAGGATGCCTCATTCGAAAAGATGGCTCACTGAGGAAGATCTGGCTCGACACGAAGGCGAAAATGCAACGTCGAGACGAACAACAAACATGGACCATCGACTCGGATCACCGGCTCTGAGGAAGACGAAGACGTCGAAACGTTAGCCGAAAATAAATATATTTATCAACCTCGTGCAAGCTTATCAAGAAAGAATCCTTACACATTTGTTCCGTGTTCGTGGAACATCTGCATATCTCGAGTGAACGCAGTACACTGACCAACTCTTACGTGCGACAGGGAAGAATGAACAGTTAACAGATCACCTTTGCCACCTGTACCACCTAACCTCGCGTTGATCGTCGAATGTCTTGGACGGGCGCAGGTAAATCTTCCATTTCCCCGTTGCGCCCAGGAGTGGTCCAGTGGGTCTTGCCCGTTCTAGAAACACGTTGAGAATCATACCTTTGCGGCATGGATCGCACTATTCAGAAATTCGGCCAATCATTCCGCACCACTGTACTATATCGACATGTCGACATAGAGAGACGCGTGTAGGGAAGTGGTTAGCGGTGCCCTCTTGTACAAACGCTCTCTTTGGTTGACCTCATATCGCAAGTCCACCAATTCTTCCAATTTCTGGAATCGGTTCCCATGCACATATTTTCGGCACTACGTAAGTGCGTTCCTTCTGTGAGGCGCTGCCAATTCCAGACAATTAGTTGTGGATACATAGCAATGAGCGCATGACCCAGGACTTATTAAAGGACGCGCCTAATTGGACTGGCGTCAAAGCACAATATGATGTTTATGGAGTTCCATACTGTGATGGAGGAGAACACTTTAGCAGAACGCAAACTAGTCAGACAATGAGAGAAAGAGATGAATAGGGAGGGAAGAAGGTGGAGAGGGTAATGCCGTGGTTAGTAGTGCCATAGGTTTCGAAGTAAGACGTTAGTTCATACTCCTTCCAACGCTGTCTCGTAAATCACGCCTCTTTCAAGACGAATGGACTCGACCAGCATTCAACGACATTCATAAAGAAGACGAAATTCTCGAGCAGTAGTCAAAATAGCATGCGAAATGTTCGAAAACCGTTGTGGACGACGAATGCGCTGAAAGAGAATGGAAAGAAGGAAGTGCTGAGATACGTATAGTTGATGTGATCATGCATCATGTACAAGAAAGTTTGCCATTATGGCGTCTAGGAAAAGCTGGCACTATTTGCAAATATTTGACGTTTGCCATAGTTAGTGAAAACCAAGTATGTTGACAATTTTAGAAAAAGAATCACTTCTGTCAAGAACACTAACTGTTTCATTCGTTTGGGCATCCCACCATTAAGGTCGCTATTCTTTCGTGGTGTCACCCTGGGAAGCCAGCGAAACACATAAGCGGCCTATAGGGTTGCGAAAGATGGAAAGCTGACCGCTGCTGACAATGTCTCTGGTGACGTGCAACCGCATCCTCCACCAAATCGGCCAAGACACTGGTGGCGAAAATCTGACTGTTGAACGAGAACGGAACTATTGATTACGTATGGGTTTTCGTGCTAGGACCCTCTACTATCCAAATTTCAGAATATCAGGTAGAAACATTAAAGTGGTCGTAGTTTCTAGTTACTTTTCGCCGAAGTGTTCAATTGCACATTACTGCGAAATAGATAGACATAATGTTGTGATTTTACCCCGTTGACAATCGCATAGATCGAAGGGCACCTCTCGAGTCTTCATCTTCACCAAACGTGAGCACTAGAGCCACTCAATGAGCTGCATTTTTTAAAGGAACGCGAAGAGCATTACACTTTCACTATGATGCCTTTATATTCACCGAATTTGTCGAGACCTCAACTATGGGAAGCTCTCCGGAATTTGCATTGGCATGAGTATAACCCGAGCTACACTTCGGATTGGAAATGTTGCATATTTTCTCACGACGGGTGGCTCTGTTGAGGATAAATCCTAACTGTACATCGAAGTCGACATTCGGACATCAGCAACCACCATGAGAGGGTGCTATAATTCGAGTAAAACCATGTGCAAATCTCGGGTTACTTGCTTTTCATCTTGATGAAATCTCGTTTCTGGTTTGTTTGCTATAGTCAAGATAAGAAATCTGGTCAGAGAAATCAGAGTAAGAATTTTTATATCGAACTTTTAAAGCGGGAAACAGATGGGCAAACGACTTTACCAATGAGACTTCTAGAAAAAAAATCGTGGTTTAAAACGAAGGAATGTATCACTGTATTGGTTTTATTGCTAAACTTTTAGTTGTTACGTGAGCCACTTTTCGTACGGCGTCATTCATTTCTTTCAGGGGTGTAGATTTTGAAGGGGTTTAAAATGATATGAAAGAAATGAATACGTACCTGAACAAATTATGTAGATGAAATCCAAATAGAAAGATAATCAATAAGCGGAGATAAATTCGAGAATTTCTATTGATCAGTCAACCAATCATTTCTCTTGTTACGTACCTGTACTGCCTCCGCTCCGATACCAGCTGACGATGCAGTGAGTGTGCGAGTGATTCCTGCACGGAGTTGGCGGCACCAAGCCGTGCTGGCACAGCTCGACAACACGTTCGTGTTCCTCTTCCCAGTACCATGCAGCATTCTTATCGCATTGTATACAATCCAACCCGAAAGCTAGAAAATCCAATGTTAAATGGAATATTACAGGGTATTAAGACAAGAAGGGTGCGTGTGCCGCAGTGGTTGGAGGCGCCACTGCGACACACACATGGAATCGATCCCCACGCCCATGGGCCGCCAAGCCTCCCATCCCTCCGGGTTTGGCAAATTGGTACCAGACTTGTCTGGGAGGATAGCAGCACTGGCTCGATGAATCGGTAGACCACCGCAAGTCATTGTAAAGGCCAGATATGCATTCCATCACCTCCAGCGAAACTTAATGAAGTCGAATGCATGACGCATCCCTCAAGGATTGATCAACGCCAGGAGCTTTATCCTTTATCCTTTATTACAACAAGAAAAACCCCAAGACTTGGATTCATAAGCACAATATCTCTGACCACTTCTATGTTTTTCTGAACTATTATCTTCTTCGGCTTTGGATAGTTTGCACAACATTTGCATAGAACGGTGAATTTTATCGATAATTAAGCACTAGTTATCAAATTTTTTGGTTCTATAACTCAAAAGTTTTACCGAAAAACCAGAAATACTAAGTATTTTAGTCGTGCAAAGCGTTACAACAATTTTAAATGTTTTTTTCTTTTTCTGCAAGCGTTTTCTATACATAGTTCAGTTCCATCAGCCTTGCTTGAGCGCAATGGCGCTTTTATTTCTCTCGACAACTTAGGTGTACCGTTAGTAGTGAATGACAGATGTTCTTCTAACTTTATTACTCTCGAAAAGCACACCAGAAAACTTTCTGAACTGCAAGTTTCGGCCATAACCGAACGAGTTTTACGCGACTACTTGTCTATAGAGAATTGGCCCTTGTACGTTGTACGGTGCTGGAATTTGTAATGGAAGAGAAATAAGAAATCAGCGTTTGCGTTGGACTAAAGACTGAGAGACAATAAGTGAAATTAGACTGGTAAAATGAAATAAACGAAGCGGATAGCATAGTGGTAGTGATGTCGAGCATAGTGCTAGTTCGATTCCACGCCGGTCCAACCAGGTCTCTCATCCCTCTAAGGTCGGAAAATTGGTACCGGACTTCTCCGGGGAAAAACCACTCTCTAGAATCCAATTGGGCACGTTCCAGTATCCAAGGACTCCAGGGAAAATCGACTTGACCAGCATTCTAGAACGTTCAAGATGGAATGAAAACTCTCAAGCAATAGCCGAAGCCACACGTAAGGAGTTGGAAGAAATTCGTGGATGGTGAATGCGAGGTGGCGAATTGAATGTGAGAAGTGCTGGGATCTGCACAGTAGACGTGAAGTCGGGTTATATAAAGAAAATGAAATATCCCTTAAGAATGAACAAACTGGTTTTCTAGTACCAGTTCTTCATGAACAAATCATTTGCGAAAAAGGATTGTTTAGCAAAGAATTGCGAGCAAGATGTTTCAAAAGTCCTCCGTTCATTGCTCTATTTAGCTCCTCAGCGTTCACAACAGCTTTTGGAATCATTTCTTATTTATTTTCATCTTTAACAATTGAAGTAACGTTACTTACTGGCATATTTGATTTTTAAATGCACCATTCTTCTTACTTCAAACAAAATTTTCAAATACTTCCGTTTTACCACGGTTTATGTTTGTGATGGAAACCTAAAGTTACTCGTATATACAATGCTGAGATATTTGCAGAACTTCGGACCGCAGGTGCATGCGGTGGGGAACGAACGCACGCTGTTGTCCTTACCGGGGAACGGCGCACTTCACCACCACACCATTCAGGTCCTCCGTTATGCCTGTCTCTCAGCTAGTTCTATGGCGGTGAAGTGCGCTGCTCCCCAGTAAGGGCAACAGCGCGCGTTCGTTCCCCACCGCATACACCTGCGGTCCCGAGTTTTGCAAATATCTCAGCATTATATATACGAGTTATATTTCGCAACATGTCCTGCCATAACAAAGAAAAAGGCAGTAAATAAAAGGTTGTTTTTGATGTTATTGAACGATGGCTGACGTTTCGGCGACTTCGCCTTCCTCAGAGCCTGGACGTATTTTATGTTAGAATACTTTTTATTATTCGGTGGAAAAGAAAGGTTAAAGTGTTACAAACAACGAAGATCTGTACCAACCTCGCGTCAGCTTAAGAAGATCAGTTTATAAGATCACATGAATAAATATATCAACTATCTATGCCGAGGTTTATAGAAAGTCGGTCTTTCGAGTAAATAAAAGGGTTAAGATTGCGATTATACCTAAAGCTATTGTTAATTCGTGGAACGGAATAAGAGAGAAGAGATTGGGAACGCCGTAATATCGGTAGTTATGACAAAAATGAGATCTGCTGTTAATCTTTCTACAGATGTCACCAGAAAGAAGCTCTGCTGTAGACCTATTAAGCTTGATGGAAATTGTAGTTATCGACCACCGTTACGACATTTGAGGAATGCTTTCCTTTCAAAACGAAGCAACGTTGGGAACAATCACTGATCCTTATCATTATGATGACAATGCTGGGAAGGCCTTTCAACATCGATCCACTTCTCTAATTTCTCTTTGTGTGGAAAATGAGCTAAACCGAAATGGCGCAGTTTTTCACGTTTTAAATATTCCGATGGTGATTTCGACAAACGTAATTCTATTTTTATTCTAGCACCGTTCCTTTTAGTCTTTGGCCTTTTTACGCCTAAATTTTCGCCACTACCATCTGAAAATCACTGATGATCTTTCGTTACTCGTTTCTGGCCGTCTTTCCGATTCGAACTACACAGATTCGTCTCGTTGTTGGTGAGACGTCATCGCGATGACGTGAGATCATCGCCTTATTTGACGAGCCTTCAGTACCTTCACACTCCATGATTAAAACAAAACAAGGTCAACCGTATCCTTTAGTTAGTTCATTTTTGATAGCCGCAATATCGCTACTGGGAATATTTACTGTATTTCCTGCCCAGTGGATAATTTTCATTGCGAGTTTTGAGTTCTCGACTATTATAGTCAAAACCTATCCGAATGCCAAATGATACTGACCTATTTGTAATTCTTGACATAAACTTTGGTCCAACGGAGAGAAAAGAAGGACGGAACGAGAGCGGATTTCACGGCAATTCAACAGTGCACGAGAAGTCCACTGAAAAGCCCAACAAGACGGGGCAGCTGTGGCAGCGCCACAGTGCTCGCCAAGCCATTCAGTCCATTCCCAACTTTTCTACTCCCCACAAGTTTTATTGATGGTCCATCTAAAAAACTAAAACTCTGTGGTAAACTCTAAACAGAATCATAGTCTTCAACTTCATCGAAAACTAAAAGGGACTGGAGGAGTCACTAAAAACCTGTATTGAGAAGTCAACAGCTCCTTACACTATATTCCTTATTGTTGTTACGATTGTAAGTGTAACTGTAACAATGTGAAAAACCAATCATAAGTCCTAAGAATCGTGGAGTTGGCTGCGCTGATACCCTTAGGGATGCTCCGAGCAATCGATTCCATTCGTAGAATCGTCACAGGTGACTGGATAAATTTGTGGTCTATATAATGACTTAAAATGGCTTAGCCATGTACCAAATCATCCTCAAAGAGCACCCTGGCATCGCCGATCCTAGATGGAAGATTTCGCAGGATATAACCAACAACCGTGTTCGTTTCGCGGGCATCTCCAACTATTGCGCTAATTGCATCCCGTGGCCATCGTAACTGGTTGTAGATCCTTCTTCGCAAGTACTGCTACTGAGTATCATGCTATTAAATTTTGTCAGACTACTTTGAAATGAATTAAAAGTGCACTCATAGTAGATCAGAAATTCTTTAAGGTTTACAGGGTTGTCGTTCTAATGCTGATTATAATTGCAAGTGGATAGATTCCACTATTCAAAGTGGCTGAGTGTCAGTGGTAATTACGGTGCTTGGATGGGAAACTATACATCAACGGAAATTAAGCATAACCGACTGAACCACCTGCCGATGTACTGACGAAGAGAATCCAGACGACGACGTCACTTCTCATCGTTTTCTTCTGCTTTTCTCAGACTTTTTTGGACGATTCGAATCCACACTTCCTCTACAACCACACGACTGAAGTTTCCTTAAATATTACTATCTTTCTGCAAAAAAAGAGTACGATATATCTGGCTGCGATGTCGACAAGAGGCGCATGCGAATTTAGTGCGAAGGTGAGGATAAAAAGTGCAGCTTTATAAATGAAGTCACCTTAAGCACAAAGTTATTCAGTGCTTATGAGAATAAAAAAAGCATTGGAAAAGGGTTTTTGGTTGATTAGAATCCACACATGTACTTCAATGTGTAATGAACGGGTCTCCACAAACATGTTTGCTCGGTATGATTTTTCGTGAAATTTGGTTTCAGCGCTTTCGTAAGAAGTTTGACTTTTTTTTAGTAAAAAGATATAATAGCACAGAAAATTCTTCAAATGCACAAGCACCTGAATACAAAAGTGTGGTAGTTATACTACGATATCTGCAATGGAGCATTTGTTAGTGCAGAGAGACTGATAGTAGACGAGTTGGATATTGTTGCACGCAAATTGCCGAATTGCTCCGCCTACTCGGTAATGACCAGCACTTTTAACAGTGGAACGCCGAACTCCGGGTGATTGAAAATGAGAAGAAAATGAGTAGGATGAAAATGAAAAACATGAAAAGCAAATACAATGACCAAGATACGAAGGGAGAGGAAGAGATGGAGAAAAAGCCAACACATTTACAATGCTCATCAGACCATAATGAATAGGTGAAAAAAATAAAGATATTCAGCAAGTGTACGGCTATCACTTAGTCATTACTTCGTGAACGACGAATTAAAAGTGAACTGAGTGCTTATGAGAGGATTTAACTTTTGTAGATATCCAGAAGACGACATAATATTACATATTTCTCTCGATAGCATATTTGCTACAATTCATACTTGATACTTAAGCGGCCCTCCCTCACTAGTTGTGCGGGCACCAGCATAATCACTATTTTTCGGAGATCTGCTGGTTAAGCCATTGTGGCTCCCTGGAATCCCGACGGG